CCTTACCGAAACCGCACAACGCATCAGCCATTGGCAGATTGACCCCTGGCTGTTGCTGTTGACACCGCTTGTGGGCTGGTTTGTTCGGGTCGGATTTCCGTCTCAGATCTGTAGAAAGCTTGGCAAATATCGATGGATGGTTCTTGGATGGACTTCAAAAGAGGCTTGGCCAATCTGCCTTCTCGGGGGTTTAGATTGGACCCTTTTCGCCACCTGCGCCTGAAAGAATCAAGGGGGGTTGGCTCACAACCCCAGGGTTCGTGGAACTTCCTCAGGAGTTTTTCGACTTGCGGATGGCTGCAGATGGATGGAACAGCTGGGAAAAGCATAACGTATATATATATATATGCACATAGCATGTGTACATATATCTTTATATAGATATGCATACACATGGTACCCCCCATGAACATATATAATGCATATATACATATAGTCATGTCTTTGTTGTATGGCTACATTCTTAGGGTTGGTTAAACCCAAGGGAATAGGCGCTCCGATTGGACACCTGCCACTAGCTCATTGCATGTGCTGTAAGCCTGGATGCACGTGGTTTCGAAGGCTCGTCAAGGGCGCGGAAGGCCGTGTCCTTGTGTTGGCTATTTGGTGGGATGGTCAACCCATAACTTTTGGTTGAAGATGAGTGGTTCTCAACCACCAACAACTCGAAGGATTTGCGCTGGGCCAAATCGCCACAGAGCTGGGGAAGATTCAAACGCGAAGGATTTAGTTTACTGCTCAACCAGGGGCTTGGCTTGCCCCTGCGCTAGGAAGGAAAGCAGCCCTCAAATTCTAGGGAAGGTTCAGTCGAAGCTTTTTGACCTGGGCCATGGCTACGAGCATTTCCCACACGTCCCCAAGATCAGGCAGTTCGTTTCGGGCAGGCTTCCTTTTGGCTCCCGTGCAAGGTCGGGTAAGGGGTCAACCAAGCTACCCTCAGACGCACTTCCAATCTCGCCAGGGCGAACGCATGAGGGGCCACGCGCTCCAATCTTCTGTGACCCATGAGCAAGCAGAAGTTTGAGATCGCTTGGGAACACATGATGTTTGGGCTGGCTTTTGCTGGTGCCCCCTGCAACCTTCTGCCAACGAAACGGCGACATATATCTTTCTTTAAATGTTGCGGCTGTTTGGGTTCTTTGGGGCCGAAGGTTGCAAGGTGGCAAGCATAAATTTTGCATCACTTTCATGTGGCGCCGCCCGGAAAAGCTGCGTTCGAGACAATTTCTGGTGCCCTGCGGGCTCGCAAGGCGTTTTGGACACGCAGCATGGGGGCGCCACGCGAAGGATTGGACGCGGATGCGTTTCCTCAAGAGAGGTCTCACTCGGTGGAATCCTGCTGTGAATTTTCGCCATCGCAAGCATGTTGCGCCCAGCTCTCGCCTAGTAGCCAAACGCCGAGACAAAATGATGCACTTGGGATGAACCTCCATTTGCTTAAGAATATGTTTTGTATATGTTGTTAACTCCCCTTGTTGGTTTTAAAAAGGAATTCTCACTACTGGACATAATTTTTCATGTTTTCCTGGGGCCTTAACCAAACGCCGGATGAAGCTGAAGCGAACTGGGGGCAACTTGAAGCCTAGTGTCCAGGTCGTGGACCCCAGGTCCACGATGGGTTGGCGCCTCGTGCAGAAAGCCAAGGGATTCCGAAGAAACCAGCAAGTAGCCCTCACGACCTGCAAATCTCACCTTTCGAAAAAGAAAAAAAAGGAAGATAAAACACACACACACACACACATGCAAGGGTCTGAATCATTACTCAGATTGTTGCCCTCCATGGTCCTGACTTAATTCAGCTTTGTGGTGCCACGAGGTATTTAGCCTCTTTCATTGCTACTGTTTTTCGCTAACTAGTAAGTACCCAACTTTCTGCCGGGCAAGAACAGAAGGTCTATTATTGGACAGACGCCCAAGGTTCAAGGATGTCCACCAACATGATCCCCAATCAAATTCATGCCCATTTGTGAATTCCGCCGAGAACAGCCTGGAACCCACAAGATGCATTATAAATAAGTGGCACCCATAGGCCAGTGTTGGCCCGTTTCGTTTTTCTTTTTCTGGTCTAGTCTCAATGCGAACTTTGTACGGACTAAGACAGGGGATCCTCCCCCATTTTGAATCCAGGTGGGTGGTTTCCCTTTGAAACTTTGCCTGGCGACGGCCGTTTGTTTCGACGCGCCGGAAGTTTTGTCTCCCGGTCCCATCGCCTCGAGTGGCCGATGGAACACCGCGAAACGCCCCTTCCTTGAACGAAATTCGCTGACTTGAGCAAGCCAAAGGTCTCCATGGACCTTATGGACTTTGAACCTTTCTGTCGGGTGTGGACATTTTCCTTTTCTCAAGCCCGGTGTGAGACATGAGAGGCTTAGTTTGGTTGGTAGATCCGACTGCAGGGCTCAAAGGCCTCGACATTGTCCGTCTGGCTGCCCCTGGAGGGGACAGCGGGCTCAGAGATCCCCCGACGGCGCATGCGACCTGAGCCAAGTCTTTGTTTAACATGGCTGTTGTTGGGAAACATATTTCACATTTTTGCTTATTGTGGTTTAGTGGTTGAAATCCCCACTTAACTGCTAACATTTAAACTTTGCTCCCCTTCCAACGTCAACCTAGTTAAAGCCCCTTTAGGTTTTTCGGTCAAAACAAGTCCCTGGGACACACGGGAAACTGGAAACCGGTGTTCTTGCGGCGTCAGGGAACGACGACCTCGCGGGTTCTCGATGCCCCGACATCTTGGACAGATTCGTCTCTCCTCTTTTCCTCCGGTGCGGAAGTGCGGAAGAATGAGAGGGGTGCGGTTTCCCAAACGCCAGGGGCAGCAATTGCCTGGCAGTTTCGAAGGCTGGGAAGGACATTCCGGCCGAATCGATCCCGTCTTGAAGGTCTTGTCGACTTCCTCGAATGCCCCGGTCCGCGGCGTATACGTCAAGTCAGGACATCGTGGGGGTCGCAAGGTATCGCGAAGCTGGAAAAGCCAGAGATGTGGGAGCGAGGCACAGACCATCGGCTAGTTGGCAACCAAGATAACCCGGCTGAGCCAATCAGTTCCCAGTTGTATTCATATTGCGTCATGCGTCCCGACTGGAAGGTTTCATCCATCCACAGTACGTCCCCGCGGTTGAGTGACGTACAATATTCAGCTAACCCTTAAGAGGTGGTTTGGATTGGTTGTTTGGGGATTGGAACCCTCAACCTCCACACCTCCAAACCATCGATTCGGCTCCACCAATAGGGAAGCCGAACAATTCTTGGCAGACACATCAGTTCGAGGACGGAGGGCATCTCTGAAGCCAGCTTCCCATTCCCATGTTTGAGGAATCCTCAGCTTTTAACCAACCAATCCGACTCACATTCCCTTGGACCCGTCCTCTTTTTGACCGTTGCAATGTGGTAACGCGGAAGGATGCGGCTTCAACTGAGAGCGGCAGTTCCTGCGGCTTGAATGTCAAAATGGGTGTGTTAGTGTGTGTGTGTGGTATTGATGAGACCTTACCTTTTCAAGTTGGCTTAAAGGGGAACCAAAATTGGAACCCCACACTTTTGGGGCCGAATCCCTATTTTGACGCATTTACCGTCCATGCTCAAGAAATAGAGCCTGCCGATCCATGCCGATCCCATGTTGTTTTTTTTCCTTCTTCGGGTTTTGGACGTATTGTGCTGGACTTCCAAAACAGGCCCCCCAATGTAATCCTGCCATATGGGGCGCGGCACCTTCCTTTACCTTCCTGTCCTACCGTTCGTTTCGATGGTGACTTGCATCGAACAAGCCGCGCCCTCTTCAACTTGAATAGGAATGGCCCCGTTACAACCGAGGATCTGGACAAGTTCTCATAGTTCACCAACCGGAAACGAGGAGTCTCCTTCAAGCGGCTCGTGTAACCCCCGATTGGTGGGCTTGTGAACTAGTTTGGACCCGGGTTGCGGCAACGGGAAACATGTGAGACAAAAAATCACCCCCCCTCTGCTGAAACTAGCTGAAGGTGGTCGTTTTCGCGATAGTGGTTGAAGCCATAGTTTAAACCGGGGCTTGGCCCACAAGTTTTCTAAACACAAAACGGATCCTTTTCCATGGGAAGGTGCATGGAAGACCAAACAAATCCTCATGGGAGCCTTCTGTCGAGGGGTTTGGCAGCACTTATGTGGGCCCTTAAAATAGGTGCTTGTGTTCGCTCACTTTTTGGCTTAGCCCAAGAGTCGCCACGCCGCAAACATGTTGGACAGATGCCTCGCTTCTTGCCGTGGCGCCTCTTTTTTCGAGCGCAAAAAGAAAAAAAGGGGCTCTAGGCTTGAGCTCTTCTTCCGCCTTCCCGGCTGCAACCGAAGATCCCCCGGCTGCAACCAGCAACCCTTCCCCCCAGCCCGACTCGGCTTCGGGCTCGAGCCTTGGAGCCGCCGGCCCGGGCTCGGCGAGCCAACGCGAGACGAGAACTCCGCGACGAGAGAAGGCCCATAGATCTTCACGGTTGAGGAGGTTTTTTTTTTTAACATAAATAAATACATATACATATATACATATATATATATATATAAAGGTTTTCAGGCATACTTGTTGGATCAAGTTCTAGGCTTTTAAACTTGTTTGGTTCTCTTCATTTTAGGGGGCTGCAACAATGAGAAGATAGCAACGACATCCGACAGTGATGTGCTTTTTGTACCCAACTGAAATTGCCGGAAAGTGTCGAAGCCGGTCTTCGCTGAGTTTCTCTTGCACATCCCAATCACCTTCCGAAAGGGCATGGGTTCCTGGTTTCATCATCTCCCTGCAAATAGAGTCAGGGAAATGGTAGCGATCGCCCGTCGTTTTTTTCTTTTTTTCTTGTTTTTTCCTTTTCTCAGTTTCATTCTGGCTTGGAAAAGAATAATTCGCTGGCCACCCACTGTTTTTGGGGTACAGACGGCTTCCATTGGGAGACATATGGCCATGAGTGAACATCCCAATCCCCACTACAATAGGTTACCCCAAAATGGGATCCCATTGGTTTGGACCCACAGCCATATTAGTGTGAGACCCCCCGGAAGCGGCCGCGAGACGCGAGTCGTGTCCGCCGTTTCCGCCGTTTCCGCCATGGCGCTGCCACTCTTTGGGCTGCTCTGGGGCCAACTGCAGGCCTCGACCCGTGCCGAGCCGCCGAGTCTGGGAGCGGGCTTCGCGAGAGGTGAGTTGGGGTTGTTCGCTTTTTCTTGGCTTCCAGCCATCCGGTTCCTTAGCTTTTTAGCTGTTTAGCGTTTAGAAGGGTTTCCATTCGACCCACTAAAAATTAAACACTTTTAGGGGGGGATATGAGGACAGCCCTGTTTCGAGGGCGGGAATTTCTGGGTTCTTGAAAGGACACCCGTGCAAAAGGTTTTTGACTTCCACCATTTTGGGAATCGAGAAAAAACTGAGGCAGAGCCAATTGTAGTAGTTCTTTGTCCAGATGGTTAAGCCTGTGGACCAAGTTCTCATTGGGGGTTTCCCATCATGCAAGACCTGGCAAGCAATCCTGTTTACCTGCTGTGAAACACGCAATGAGAGTCTGCGGAACCCTGTGCCGCAAAAACATCTGCTAGATTTTGGTTGCCAGCCCCAGTGCCTCCTTACAATTTGCCCCGGTTCACCCAAATCTGAAAGGAAGCTTCTGGAATCCTCCGGAACTGGCAGCTCCACAACCCAGCGAGAAAGCAAAATTGCCATTGGACTTTCGATCGCCCGGAGTTCACTGGTTTACTGGATACAGTGGGACGAAATCCTGCACCACCCAAGAAACCCTGGTTTCTGCTGATTCCCTGTAAATACCAACAAACCATGGTTTCCCTTGGTTTCAAAGCGGTGCAAGATTTCGCAACCACCCACAGTATGTCCAGGAGTATCCAGGAATAGCGACGCTAGGGACGACTGGCAGTTGGGTCAGGTTCTCCCCTGAAAACCTCATGCCTTAGAGGGCAACTAGGGTGAGAAGTAATTTAGCTCACTTCCGGGCCATCTACCCCTACTCCAAATTCGGAGCTCTGGATGCACGTCCTTTGGATTTTGCGGGCTCCCCCAGAAGAGCGTGCCTTCTCCAAAATTTTGAGAGGGCACTGTGACCCTGGAAAAGCCGCGTGCCCAAAAGCGAGGCACCTCTCAGTAAGATTGGGGCACCGCGCTTTCCCAGCACCATCGTGCCCGGGGAAGGCTCTCGAATACCCACTTTGGGACAAGATGGCCAAGCTGGTGCAACTCTTGGCGCACCCAAACCGCCGCCCTCAGTACCCCGCGGCTCCAAACCCATCGAGCCTTCCGGAAGCCCACGCCAGCCGCTCCGTAGCCCCGAATCGCTCGGAAGTTTGGTTCAAAATCGGCGGTTGAGGTGGGCCAAAGTCAAGCCAGGAATAAACCCGCTGAGTTTACCCTTCCCACGAAAAAGGGCACCTGAGATTGGCTGGAAGATCAGTTGATATGGAGGAACGGTGGGAAGGGTAGTCCTTTGCTTGCAACCCATTTTGGGCCTTCCTTCCTAGGGATCCTTCTTTCCAGAAAACCTCGAGAAACCCCAGCGAGGGGAACGGGAACCGCGCTCAGGTTTTGAGAAGGATGGTTGAACAGAATTGGTTGGAATCAAGCCCAAGCCATGGTTGTTGTTGGGCAACATGTTGCATTTGTTTATTTTATGTTTTTGTGGTTTAGTGGTTGAAAACCCCACCTGACTGCTACAATTTACAGGGAAATCCCCACCTCACTGCCATTATATTTTTTTCACGCCGCTTCCAACGTCAATCCCTGGAAGCGCTTCTCGCAGGTGGCGCATGTGCTCAAAGACGTGCGAGGCGACCTCTCCACCCTGAGGCGCCTCGAACCGGTGAACGTTTCGCTCTGGGTTTTTGCTGGGTTTGCTTCCGGCCATCCGGGTCCTTAGCCTCTTTTTTTGGCTTTTTAGGCTGGTTTAGTGGTTGGGTTTCCATTTAACAAACTAAAAGTGAGTCACGTTGAGCAAGGGATGTGAGACTGTCAGGGTTGCTGCGAGCCTCAGAACCATGGCCAAACCAAAGGGGAAGGAACATGCCATTGAGTCCTTTGTTGTTCTTTCCAGGGACCAAGAGTTTGCTCTGGGTCTTTGGAACATGACTATTGAAGCAACATATTTGTGAGATCTCCTTCAACATGGGTGCACGACCTGACATCTTACATGGAAGCGAAAGAAAGCCCTTCCGCTGATTCATCTCATTTCTTCAGGTGGCAACGGTTTGCAGGGGAAGCGACCCGAGTGCTTTGAGGGTTGTCAATACCCCACGGCACCTCTTCGAAGTGCAAACCCAAGCCCAAGAAACACGCCCCCTCTCCGGATGGCCCTATCATGTCACCTGACAGGATGTATTTTGCATGGAAAAACTCTGGATCGCTTTTGTTTCCAATGGGATTTGTAACCCAAAGACGCCCGCGTGTCGGGGAAGGGTGCTTCCGGCCGGGGTACACCGTTAGTTTTAGTCGCAAAGTATTAGTTCCCAGAAAAACGCACTAGAGTTACAGCGATGAAAGGCAGGGTTCCACTGTTTGATATTACGTAGACCGGACTTTTTTTTCTGGGGGTCGTTTTTCAATAGGGGGATCTCCCATTCATGGTTTGCTGACCCTAAGGCATGCTGACCTACCCTTCTCAACATGAGCCATAGTTTGCTTACCCTAAGTCGTGCTTAAACGCAAGGCTTGCCCCCTTTGGGGGGGGGGGGTTAGGCGACCTACCCTTGTCAACATGAGTACTTGGGAGCGAGAATTTCTCCAAAAGCCGAGGCACTTGGCTCGGTGCTCAATTGCCAAATTAATTACGTAGTTCATCGCATTTCGTTTGGGTAAAGATCGAGAGGATTCACCAGAAGTATACCAAGCCCACTGACCAGGCCAATGGTTTACTTGCTGGAAAAAAGCAATATGACAACCACATTGTCATAACCAATAAGATCCCATTCTGGGGTAGGTGAATTCACCACCCATTTTAGAACCCATGTTAGTGGTTGGATTGAAAGGGATGTTCACTGGGGGTACGGGCTTTGGATTTTGACCCATGGCCATATGAGCCACAATCAAAACCCGGGTAGATGATAGTAAGGGGCAGTCCCAGCAATAAATAGCTGCGGCCGCCTTCCTAATTCCTTTCATGGTTCTGGGTAGACCATGTTCATACTCACCAGAACCGTGTAAAAACTGGCTAGGTAAACCATTGGTAAGCCACAAAGGTAAGCCATGTCATAATCTGGTAAGCCATGAGTTACCCTTACTAATGAGAAACACCATATTCATACTCACCCATACCATGGTTCATGCCGGGTTTTGATTGTGACTCACTTGGCTCGGGCCCCCGCGGTTGTTTCGAAGGCTTCTGCCCAGCATCGCCCTTCTGAGCTCAGCACCGCTGGTGCTGCTGCCGAAGCAGGCCTCACGGCGATCGCTTCCTGGTTTTTCGGGGGGGTTAGCGGTGGTCATACTGTGGGTGGTTGCAAAATCTTGCACCGCTTTGAAACCAAGGGAAACCAGAACGTTTGTTGGTATTTACAGGGAATCAGCAGAAACCAGGGTTTCTTAGGTGGTTCAGGATTTCGTCCATCCACAATAGGTGTCTTCTTTTTTTAGGTTTTCTTGATTAGAAAGAGATGGGTTCCACAGGTTTAGAATGGGTTTTATCCACCATTTTCCAGGGAAACCTATCTATTTTTCCAAAAGGTCGCCTATGGCGGAGGTGTGAAACACCGCCTTTTGGGCCAACGAGGCGTCCTGGCAGGGCGTTCTGGCCCCAGGACTGCCATAGCGGCCGCCCGCGGGTATTTTGGTGGCAGGCTTGTTTTTCAGTTGGAACCCTTGCGTTGCCAGGTATAAGAAGGGTAATGTCAACAAAAGCATGAGAGGCGTAATCAAGAAAGAGAAGGAAATCATTGGATAGCCTCTAAAGTAATACAATCAGGGTTTTTGTTGTCGCAAAGTTAAGCAATGTAAGACACAAATATATACCAGAGATTAATAAGCCTAATATAGGATGTACTGTACTCGAAAGCGTTAAAATCATGAAAGAAGTGGATCATGGTGGATGCAATGTCAACCCCTGTACCACCTCCAAATCCCGAGAATGACGAACGGATTCGGAGAAGACATGAAAGAAAGCAAATTGTGATAGGAGACAAACAGCTCTAGGAATACCACTTCTGGACCCTTGAAAGATAGCTGCAACATAGTTTCCAAATCCTCCAAGCAAGCCAGGCATGACTAACAAGAAGATCATAAGAAAGACATGCACTATAATGCTTATATTACAAACAAAATATGGTTGTTTGGAGATACAGGGCACCGATTTTTTTTTGTTTAAAAGATCCACACCAGCCGTGTTTGTTGCAATTCCTCATGTTGGATTCCCGTTTGATGTTTTTCACAGACGGAACCAGCAGGCAATTGAGTGAGCGACAGGTGATTCTAAAGAAAAAATACACGTTCCGTGATTTATAAAAAGAAAACACTAGGACCCCCAAGGCGTAATTTCAAGAGAACACACGAGGGCCCACAGGTGTGAATTGAGAAAAACACACCGGAGCTTTCAGGGGACTGTCAAAGGAAAAGACACCCGGGCTGGCGTGAATTCAACAAAAAAAGAAAAAACCGAGGTTCCCAGGCGGGATTTCAAAGCGAGAAAACCGAAACCGAGAGGCGTCAGTTCAAAACACAAAACTCTGAGACCGCCCAGGCTAGATTTCAGAATTTGCAAGCACCATCACCCCGGCGTGATTTCAACATAGATGCTTATTGGTGAATACAATTCTATTCTTATAAGGCTTGATACTGGTCAGAAAACCAGCATGTTTGAGAGGGCAAAGCACATGGAACCTGAAAACGAGGGGCTTAGGGGCCCCAACGCAAACTTGGCTAGTTTCCTTCTGGTGTGTTCTTGTTTGCGTCTTAGCCACACCCGACTGTTGGGGAAATACAAGGGGCTTCCTGACTTGACTGCTATTGGGTTGGATCTTTAGACTTTAACTTTTTTGGGAAATCAAGTGGTTTTCCACTAAGCCCCCAAAAAGTTGAACTTTTGCGGGGGGGTCAACAGCAACCAAGCTGAAGTGAGGTTACTGCATAAGCAGAGGGGTCTCCTTCCCATGTCCTGGCCACGCTGGAAGATGTTGGATTGAACTCGGGCATCCGTTTTGGGTTACTGGGATCTCTTCTGAAATTCACTTGCATAGGTCATTTCTGGTTGTTTTGCTAGAAAAATAGATGGCCCTGGTTTACCTGGTGGTTTAATCATCTACCAAGGCCATCTATTTGTCCTAAAAGGACACCTGTGTTCACATGTCAATGTTCATGTGGCCCAGAATAAACATGGTTCTGGTTGGGGGCAACGCCGAGGCAGGCGCAAGAAAGGGAGACCAAGCAAGTTGTCAACTACTCAAAGGTGCCGTTTTCCTCGTGGAAAAATCCAGAGGTAGACTTGTGAGTGGTTTCTTCAGGCTTCCCGGTGGCTGCCTGTGGCAGCCTTTGCCAACGGCCTGTGCGGAGCCTAGGGCGCCATGCTTTGCAGAGGTACCCTGCTACCGGGGAGGAATCCCCGGTGGACCCATACATGTCGTATACATGTATATCTACATGTACCCTTCACCTATTATATACATACGCATGTAAGATGAGACGTCCGCAGTGACTCCTCGTCGGCAAGGGTCAGGTGTGGCCTTGAGATAGAATGGAGGAATGTCAATAGTAGCACCACGGCATTGGTTTTCTTACCTGGGTTTCTGGACGTTCGACTTTTTGGGAAGACCATTTTGGCGGCAAATAACGACCAGCTTGGGCTTCTTGTGGCTCCCGAGTTGCGATCCCCAAGGCTTTCTGGAGGTATTGTGGTTGCTATGTGCTTGGGGCCGATTCCCGTGGGGTGGACCACTTTGTGGATCCTTGCCATTGGTTTTAGGCGCCTTGCAGTCACCAGGTAGTCTGCTGACCACATATAGCTTGACTGCCGTTGGGTTGGATCTTTAGACGTTAGCTTTTTGGTTGAAATCAGGGATTTGCCCGAATTTTACCCACTAAAAAGCTATTCAAAGCTTGTTGCAGCGGGGGTCAGATCAGCCAACCACTCGTGTTGTTTTTTCTTCTTTCGTTTTTCCGAATTGAAACCTCCAAACACCTATTCTTGTTGCAGAGGGGGTCTCGCCAGCCAAGATCAGCCGTTCCCTCGCGGCTTCTTTTTTTTTGCGAACGAGGTATCTCCTGGTCCACGGCTCCCGGTCCAACCATATCCTTCAGGCCAGGAGTCTCGGCTGGTCAAAAGCAGGTACCCAAAATGAATGCCCTGGCATATTGAACCAAAAGCTAAAACATGGGGTCTCCTGGTGCTTTAATTTTGACCCCAGACTAAATCAACCCCAGTTTATGAATAGGAGTGTCCCTGGGTGAAATGTGGGGGCCCTCCGCCCACTTTTGGAGGGGCCCCCCACCCCCCCCGGTTAAACTGGTGGATTGATGAATATGGGACTTCGATCAACATGGAAGCCACCGGAGGGTCTCAAAGGGAAAATGGTCACCAGGGACCTCGATCCGCAACGTCGCACGGTTCCATGTTGATTGACGGAGGGGTACCAACCAAAACGAAAATCAGAAAGACTGGCTCAGGTGGTATCCAACCGCAGAACCATTTGGAACCGAATCTTCTGTTGAACCGAATCTCCCTGAAAGCTGCAAGCCCAAAGCTTGCAGAGACTTCATAGTTTCAGCTGTCCGGGGGGGAAAATAACATGATATACAAAGCAACCTGACTGAACAGTCCCAGGGGTTGTGACTTACCATGGGGGGTCAGTCCTTCTTCACCAGAAGCTTTCGCGGCACCACTGGCAAGAGACGGCTTACTTCGTTTTGGCAACAAGCCATGGGTTAAGCTTACAAAAAGGGGGGGGGGTGCAGCCAACTCAAGCACCACAAAGCTACTGGCCGATTCGGCCCGGAAAAAGTGCACGTGATTCTGGGCTCGGCAAGGCCAAGACCGCAGATTGCGACCGAGTTCCCACGAAAGCTTAAGATACGACACGTTTCATTTTTCTCGGACGAAATGTCCTTTTCAGCTTGAGGGGCTCAACCTTCAAACACCACGACCCTCCCACCAGCTAACAACATGTGCCCACAGGCCCTTTCCAAAGAGGAAAGTAGTCTTTGTAGAAGGGTCTGTGCACTTCCATGTTAGTCTGTGGGGTGCCCACAAACACAAAATTGTGTTTTTCTTGGCAGACTGGAGGTATTGCAGTTGATCCGCCAGGATATCCTGGTGAACCTGACCATCGTTTTGGCCGCCTGGGGAGGCCGTGAGATTCAGAGGTTCGATACTGGACTCCAACTCTTGGCCGTTCGCCGTCCCCCTTTAGGTGACTCGGCTTTTAAAGGCGTAGGGGGTGCCATACAGCCCACTAAAAACTAAGTCACTTTTTGCAGGAGATCAGTTTGGACAGAACTTCCAGGTTCCTTTTTGCGCTTGTGGGTTCCGTCCTCTTTCGTTTGAACCAGCAACCAACAGACACTGTTTGGTCTTCTGGCCAAGATGTTGGAATGATTCCAGCTTTCTACCCAAACGAGTCTTGACTGGTGGCAATTGTCCCAAATCCGGGGGCGAGCGGCTTCTAAAAGGGAATCGCCTTTCTAGGTTGGTGTGTCATTTTTGAGTGTACCCTTCTGGGGGGTGGGACAATGCAATCCGAATGGAACCCCCGTCACTTGGAGGGCCGCAGCATGTGTATATGATTCACACACACGTCCACGCATGCACAAAGTTGTGCTGTGCCGCACTTGGTGCGGCGCTGCGGGAAGCTACACAAAATCTCATCAAATAGATGGCGTGCCTCATTGGGACACGGCATTTCATGACATCGCTATAGCACACCCCACTACACTCTCGCAGATTACCATGGAACCCCCCAAACCTAGTAGGAGTAGGAGATGGAGAAGGAGATGGAGAAGGAGAAGGAGAAGGAGAAGGAGTAGGAGTAGGAGTAGGAGTAGTAGTAGTAGGTGGAGGAGGAGGAGGAGGAGGAGTAGGAGTAGTAGCAGCAGTAGCAGTAGCAGTAGCAGTAGCAGTAGCAGTAGCAGTAGCACTAGCAGTAGTAGTAGTAGTAGTAGTAGTAGTAGTAGTAGTAGTAGTAGTAGTAGTAGTAGTAGTAGTAGTAGTATTATGTTGCCACTAATTACGGCTATTATCATTGTTGTCATTATGTGATTAGCCATGATTCATTTCATCAACAGGGATGTCGCGGTAGTGACTGACCTGTGATGTTTGGCTCAAGTTTTGGGTTCCGTCGCGCCTCGAATGGGCGTCGCCGAACCCCTGCGTCGACCGACGGCATCTCGGGGGAGAAAGAGACCTCGGGCCGCCGCCAGGTTGGTAGGGACCAGTCGTGCGGCCTGTTGTCGACCAAGGTTGCGGGTTAACCCTTTTCTTGTTTGGTTTGTTTTCCTTTGGTTGTTGTTCTCTGGTGTGTGGGAAACCCTGATCTTTGGGACCGGGGATTGGTTTGCTTTTGGGGAACCTTTCTTTTGTGGCTTGTTTACCCCAACTTACCCATTGCCTGGGCACAGGCTCGTGCCCGAATCACAGGTTATCAGCCGTAGGACTTTCCTACGCGCTTGAGACCATCAACTACAAGCTCTATGTCGACCCCACGATCTCGAAGGAGTGTCGTGGATGAGGAGGCCATCCTAGGTGACCTCCGATCAGGTGAGGACCTACCGGACTATGACTACGAGGATTTCGAAGCAGGTTCGACAGGTCAGGATCGCAGGGGTGAAGATCCCGGTAGGGACACACCCAGAAGCCGTGGCAGGTACACCGACGATGGAGACGACCGCATTTTCCGTCAGGCCACCGATGATGAGCAGACACGAAGGGTTCGCTCCGATAGGAGCGGCTCTGAATCAGGTCACAGGCGTGGACAGTTCGACTTCATCAGCATGGCGATGAACATGGCCCGCCCTCATTCGGACGACCCGGAGGCTATGCCGACCCGACCCCCGAGATCTCTTGTTCCGGGTGAGTCTCAGGTATCGGATGAGTTTGAGTACAGGCCGCAAGGACCAGGGACTATGGTTTTGGCTCCGAGAGATATCTCGGGTCGATCCACTGGTTCTCAAAATCCAGGTCAGTTTGATGAGCACGAGGAGCGGAAATTCACAGACTTCGGATACGATGCTCTGTTGAAATCAACCGCAGGTTGGGGCAGTAGCTCAAAGCAGGGATCTGATGCCGGTAGGCCCAACCCTAATACTGCCAAGTCTGAGCTGGATGATGATGATGAATATGCCGCATTTGCGGATCGTCGTGATGAGGAAGAGAACCAATCACGCCGAAATGCTAGGATCCGTGATGCTGCGAGGCCCAGGAGCCTCTCTCGTGGGGCCGCCAGGGACCTTCGTGTTGACAGGGACGCCCGAGGCGAGAGAGAGAGAGCCAGGGAAAGTCGGGAAGTTCTTCGGGGATTGGAGGCCATTCATGACCGGGAGGGACCGATAGGTCCCCCAGTGATTGGTGACACCCCGAACGTTCCCCCTTTTCCCAACATTACATTTGGAGGTCCGCTGCATCAGAGAGACGAGGACTCGAACCGGGTTACTGGTTCGCCGAGGATCACTGAACGGGCTGCCGATGTCGTTGGGACAGGTGCAAGAGATGGTCGGCTTGCCGATGCACTCGGAATCGAGGATCGTCCGTCGATCGCTAGCCCGTTAGGGCGAGATACCAGTGACCTTGAAACGTTGAGGTCTAGCAACGAGTTCACACCTCAATGGGGCTCGACCGCCAGGGAACGTAGTGCTTCTGCGAAGAGGCCGTCACCCCTCGCCATTGAGACCGATAGGTCAAAGGCGAGGAGGGCTAGCCCCTCACCAATGGGCTCAACTCCGCAGGATGAGGAGATGCCTGATCCTGCTGATGTTCACATTCACTCTACTCCCGAGTCTCGTGCATCCAACATTGATCCCCGATCTGGCGATAGCCGGAGAAGGGGGTCTACCCCGAGTAGGCCACCCAGGATTGATGATTGTCCTGTAGGCGACCCCAGAAGACTTGCTAGGGCTAGCGGGGCTCCTGAGAGGATCGAGATATCGACTCCTCCTGCCCTTAGATCCCAGTCTTCCGGTGAGTCAGGTGACGCTAGGGCAAAGGAGGTGTTCGATTTGCACATCCAGGAGATGCTCGAGAGGGGTGAGGTTTCTGGCTCAGTCGCAAAGGCGTTCCATATTTTTGCTGACCAAATCAGGTTACTGAACGGTCAGGTGAGTCCCATGCGGAGGGAATGGAGCGACGAGAATCGACAGACGAAGGACAAGGTCGATCGCCTGACAGCTGAGATTGCGACTCAATCTGATGCCGGTAGGATGCGTATGATAGTTCAACGGTTTGCCAAGGAAGTTATTCCCGACAGCAAAGCTATCGTGAAGCAAGCCATCGACGAACAGGCTGAAGTCGTGGAACAGAGGATCAATCTGCTTTCACACGAGGTTCATGAATCTGTTAAGGACAATGAGGCCTCAACTGATCGGCTTCGCCAGATGATTCAAGAGAATCGTGAGGCCGTCCACAGGAGCCATGCTGCTTCCGAGGATGAGATCCTTAAGGACTTGGACAAGCTCGAGGGACGGATGTTCTCGGTAGAGAAAACCGTCGGGATGCGGACGCCAGCAGGTGAATGGAATTTGAATCCTGTCGCGCAACCGCCCGACAGGGCTAGCAGCAGCGGGGTGAACGCGAATTTCAGAGAGTTAAACCTGAAGCTCGAGAAGGCTCTCCTTGAACACGAGAAGTTTGCTAAGTGGGCCTCCGAATCTATTGGTGGCATTAATGAAGAGCAAACCATTCTTGCTAATCGGATGTCGAGGCTGCAAAGTGGAAGGGGGTCACAGGCGATCGATAGATCATCAGGGCCTGTATCCCCGCAGGACTGGCATGAAGCAATTGACGAAGTCAATCGAAAGGTCCAGGATCTATCTCGCGGAGTTCAACGCCACCATGGGGATCATGACGATGTCCTTGCGAGGTTTGAAACCCTGAAGTCCCGTGTTGAGCAGTACGAAGCGAGTTCGGGGATTCTGAATCAAGTTCTTGATGACATCAGAAGGCAGATCCGCAATCTCCCTGCGAATAGTGATCAAGCACGGTCTGCCGTTAGGCGTGAAATCGACTCATTCCGGAGTACGCTTGAAGGCGCTATGCGGAGAATCAGCACTGTCGAGAGTAACGTGCGTACTCTTAATGGAATGAACAACAGAATCATGGCTCAGCTCTATGAAATCGAAGGTCATGTTGATGAGGCTGCTGGCATTATTCAGGGTGTCCAGGAAAATCAGGTAAATCCCCCACAGCCCAGAGAGAGACAGAACGTTGGATACGACGCTTTCGCGGGGCAGGGACACAGAATCAGGTCTCCGACGCCCACTCCCGGAGAAGGTAACGGTCGGGGTACTGGCCTTCCGGTGAGACCGGGCGGAGGTGTTGATTTGGCTGATCATGTTTTACCAAATGTGCCCGATAGGGTCGATCCTTCTCATGCAGGCAGGCATCCCATTAATCCTGATAGGGAGAGGGCTGACAGCAGAAGCAGGAGGGCTCGGGGAGTGCCTGACAGGTCGCATTCACCGCCAGGGCGTGCGAGGGATGGCCCCCGCGCACGCGCAATGGGGGACATTTCTGTTTCTCCCAACAGGGATGCGGGTAGGAATAGGAGCCCGATGCCTGCTGCCGTCCCCGATAGGGGATCTGAGGTCCGGAGTCGGCAATCGAGGGGGGAAAGGCCAATCCGCGATAGCGGGAGCATCTCTCCGAACCTGGATAGGCCGATCCGCGATAGCGGGAGCGTCTCTCCGAACCCAGACCGTCATCCAGGAGGTGGTAGGGGTAATAGGGCCCATGCCGACATCCAGAGTCCCGGCGATAGCTGGAGGACCCCTGGGAGCAGAGCTCGTGCTGATATCCAGAGTCCTGGTGATACTTGGAGGACCCCTGGAACTCCATCCGATCGTGGACAGGCCTCGGCACCGGCTGCAAGACGAGCTCCCGATACCGGTGGCCCAGGTGCGCCAAAGATCTGTGCCCTCGATGAACCCAACGACCGTAGGCACCCGGACGCTGAATTCTCATGTGTTACGTGCAATCGTGAGTTTTGCAGGCTTTGCCGGGGCGACGATGGGGACTGTTGCAATTGTCACTTCTTGAAGATGAAATGCTGGGCGTGTCGTAAAAGTGCTCAGGAGGTTCCCATGTACACTTGCACGGAGTGTGCGAACCACATCTGCGAGGATCATAGTCATTTTGGCAATG